CTTCGCGAATGTGAAGCAGTGAATCTCCCCTAGACCAAATCCTTCATCGCGAACACTAGACACCCTCCGCGTTCGTGAAGAAGGAAACCAACACTAGAAATCTAATCATTTTGCACTTAGCTCCAGGTGGTCCGAAACACACTCGAGCCATACGGGACCTCGTGCAAATATACCAACAAGTCCATAAACATAATCTGAACCTGCTCGAAGTTTCAGAACACATAAAATAACATCGAAACCAAGAATCGTACCCTCAAACCAAACTAATCAACTTTTGAACTTCAAACTTCTTCAACTAGCTCCGAACGCAATGAATCATACTTAGATAACTAGGAATGATACCAAATTTTACGCACAAATAACAAATCACAATACCAACCTATTCTAAGGCTCAGAATATAACCAATCGGACATCGGTAATGCCAAATTCTACTTCAAACCAAACTTAGGAAACTCTAAAACCTTCAAGATGCCAACTTTCAATAATAAGCACTGAAACGCTACCGGATCACCCAAATATCGATCCGAACACACTTCCAACTCCAAAATCATCATACAAATCTATTAAAATCTTCAAATCCCGGTTCCAAGGTCGTTTACTCAAAGTGTTGACTTAAGTTAAATTTGGCCACCTTAGGCCACTATTATATAACTAGGTGTTCCGAATACAATCCGAACCTTTCCAGAACTAACCCAATCATCCTTGTAAGTCATACAACAGTAAAAACACATATGGTAAGTCTTAAATAGGAGAACAGGGATCTAAAAAATAAAATGATCGGTCGGGTCGTTAAAAGTTGAGTGTATTAGACTTTTATTGGTATATAGAGGTGCATTGTGTTAAATACGAGTTGTATGGGGACGCCATGCTTTATGTATATTGTATTCGTGTGGTTGTATGATAGGTGGATATATTCAGATAGCCCTATTTATAAAGGCGACTCTGTCAATTGTTTGAAAATTTTGAGTTAGCCAAAATGATGAGTAATAAGAGGCTATTTAGTGCAAAGGTCTAGAAAGGTTATGATTGGATATTTGAAATTGATTACGGCTTCGGCTATACATTCGAGTACGAATGTTTCTAAGTGGGAGAGATTGTAAAGCCCCAGAAATATTCTAACAAGATTTAGCCTAATTCGAGCATAAGAGAATAATTAGCGAGACTTTGAAGTTTGTGCAGGCCCACACAAGGGTATTAGGATCATCACAGTACTTGGGCATGAAGGTCATGAGGGCCGGAGGTCCCTAAGTTAAGTGTCTAAGGAAATAACTTTGGAAAATTAAATAAAGAAGATTAAAAAAATCACTGAAGCCCCGTGTGGCCAAGATGTGTGGCCCGTGCAGGCTACGTAGCCCATTCCAGAAGAAAGAAAGAAGAGGAGAAGAGAGAGCTCAAGCTTCATGGCCAAGTTACGTGGCTAACGCAAGCCACCCACGTAGGCCCCTGGGCTATTAAATAGAGGGAGTTCGGGGAGAGAGAAAGGAAGAGGATTTTGAAGGTTTTGGGGTTCTAGAGAGAGAAGTTCTCGTCCATGGGCATTCCATACACTCCAAAGTGAGTTTTTATCCATATTTTATGTTAATTAATATTGAGAAACACTAATATTAACATTGCAACATCCTTGGGTTTGCTAGATTTCATCAAATCAACCAAGAATACCAAAAGAGGGATTTTTTAGGGTTTGTTTCAAAGGTAATTCCCACCACTTGAAACCTATTTATGGAGTATAAATGAGCGTTTTAATATTACTTATAAGTTGAAAAAGTAGTTGAAAAAGTATAATTGATGAACCCTAACTTTGACATTGAAAAGCTTGTTGGTAGGGAAGATGAATAGTATTGGGTTTATTTGAACGACGTCATTTTGAGTTACTAATGGAAAGACTAGATTCCATAACACATTTAATGGATGAATTTGACTTAGCACTCAAGGATTGACCTTTAAATGGTGAAATAAGAATTTTTATAAAAGTAGTAAAGTTAGACCTAAGTGCTAGGCACTTAGTTAGTTTAATTGGTATTGTTGTGATGCATTAAAGATATGTGTGAACTCACAAATGTAGATATCGACTTGTTGACGACGTTTGAGCATTTTAAACAAAGTTGGAGCATCATAGTACTAGCTTGAAGCTTGGACTTGAGGTAAGTTGATTAAACTTACTTTTCTTGGGGGACATTATCTAAGAGCATAATTTAGATTAAAACATGAGTTATTTATATATGTGTCCGTACTTGTGAGGATAACCGGGTGCGGATACCTCTATGTACTAAAATATTGTATTGCATATGAAGTGTCATGTATTGCATATGAAGTGTCAAGTCTTTTTATTTGAAGTGATAAAGAACTTGATATAATTATTATCGTTTTATATCAAATGTTGGTTGCATTATTTTTGTAAAGCTTTGTCCCAGGACTTGAGTTAGAGAGAGCATATGACACTTATTGAGTATCAGTATGGTGTACTCAGCTCCCATGAGCCCTTCTCCAGGGTCCCACTTGCTTTACATATTTTCAGGATGAGACGTGATACGCGAAGAGTGGATGGGGATAGGATGACTCTCTTTCCGAGGCATATAGCAAGATATCACTTCTATTATGTGGTAGCCTTTGTGTTGATCTTACTTACTTTTGGTTGGGTCTGTCCTAAGTATTTATTCCATCCTTGCGTCTTAGAGATTTCATAGACAGTTGTAATTCGAGAGTTATTCACATGGCATGCATGAAAGAAATATTATTATTATTTTGTATTTTTCAATTATTGAAAAATGATGGATTTAAAGATTTCATTTCATGTATGGTTTGAATCATTAAAAATGATTGTGTTTTCAAAAAGGCTTCCGCATAAATGTATTTTGCATATAGATGAGCATTCTTGTACGATTTGGTTCACCTGAGTTGGATAGTGGGCTGGTTGCCGTGGTCACGTAGTTTTGGATTGTGACAAAAACCAAATATAAGAAAAGAAATCATAATGTTAAACAAAAATTAAAGGCAAGTTCGAGCCACCAACCGTAAAGGAAGAAGTTTAAAGGTGACCATCGATCTGATGGCAAACAAGAGCAAGTTCGACGAATGCCCAAAGATCGTTATAAAACCGAGATAGGAAGACCAAATAATAATTATAGCATAGTGCAAAATGATAGTAATGGAGTTAGAAATTTATATAAATTCAAACAAGAAAGTACTAGAATATTATTGTTGGAGTTTATATTCATGTTCTAAAGCAAATTTTGAACCCCTCTCCATTTTACTAGAAGTTTTCTTATGTTAACAGGATTCAACAACTTATATTATCACAAAAAAAAAAGAAGTTTATTTTTACTCTTATTGAACACTATAATTTTTTGACAAAAACAAATAATTCAATTTATGCCGTACAATCCATGAAAATGAGTAGAAAACACAACTCTCGAAAGTAAAGTCAAAATTGATTTAAAGATCTAACTTTTGTAAAAGTGAATGTCGTGTGGAAAGATTAAGACTAATGTTCCCGGCAAAACCGAAAGCTACGGCAAAACAAAATAAAGATCAAAAGGCAAAAGCAGAGGACAAGAAAGTTAAGACTCCCAAGGTTGTGGCGACTTCCTTATTTTTCTTAATTTGTCTAAGTTTAATGTAAAGAAATAAGAGTTCTAGCTCAATTTAATGTTATTCCTAAAGTTAATTAACTAAAATTCCTGCATGCACCAGGTTCAAGTAACTTCAATCATACGCTGTTTCGAAAATGTTTTTCAATTTTGCAAAAACTGAAAACCCAGCCCAGAAATATCTTTCCCTTTTTTCAAAAAGAATTTTGTTTTGGAAAGAACTGAAAATATTTTAAAGAAGAACTTTTCTAACACTTTTTGAAAACAATGCCACCCTTGGACAATGTCAAAAGGTGAGCATTTTCAAAGTGATTCTTTACCAGGAAGCCAATTAAATCGGAAATCGGAATAAAGTTCCCCTTAACTTTTTTTAACTACTCACGCAGGAATTACACTTCATATTCTAGCAGTATTTAAGATTGATTATATGGCATCATTTTAATTACCCCTATATTATAATTTATATGAACTTATTACTATTTGGAGAGTAAAACAATATTTTTAATAATATTTTTTTGTAGATACTTTTTAAATATTTTAAACTGTTAATTATTATGATTTATAATAATTTTATGTAGTTTTATGTTCAAGTTCACGATGAAAACTAGTCAATGAAAAAAGAGTAGTAGGCGGAATCATGTCTAACTAGTGGGGATTAGACAGAACAAAAAGGTTAGGTACGAGAGAATACCCCACAATTATCCATACGCATTTATGCCCCGACACAATAATATTCGACCTATAACGGAATTGGGATGAAGGGAATTTCACTATAGCTTTATTTTACTCTGTTTGGACCAAGGGGAACACCAAAATTCAAAACCATCATTTATCAACCAAACTACAGTCAGTCTCCCTTTAATAATTTTAAAGAACTAAAGATGAGAAGGACATCAGATAAGAATAACATACAAAGAATTGACATCTATTTTTGGCTTCTCCACTTTTGACCCCCGTCCCCCCGCCCCCCACCTTTTTCTTTACTTTTTGTATTGTTGAGGCTGAGGAGCATGGCAAAGCTAGAGTATAAATATAGGTTTGTATAGATTTTGGGTATATCTTATATTTATATTAAAAAATTTATTATATATGTATAAATATTTAATTGCGAATTCGATAACTAAAACGAGTTATAAATTCGATAACAAATTTAAAAATTTATAAACTTCAAATCTTGGTTCCGACTTTCGGAAGAAACTTTTATCCGTTGGTCATAAATAATATTTTAATATTTGCAAATATTGAAATAGTTGTATTTGCAAGTGAACTTCATGAAATACTGAACTTCAGCATTTGAGATATTAAAATACTGATTTGAGGAGTATTTTGAGTGAACTAATTAGTAGTAGTAGTAGTTTTCAATCATAATTATCTTCAACTTTTTCAAAATAAAGTTCATGTCAAAACACAAGTTCAACTTCCACAAACTTTTTTTAATTAGTTTTTTTTCCCAACAGAAACCAAATACTATCCAAACGTTTGATTACTAGTATGCAGGAGAAAGGGAAGCAACAATATGGGAAAACTGAAGCTTTTCAATAAGCTCTTTTGCATGGCGTGAAGCTCGGCGCTCAACTCGGGCGAACAGCTTGTCACTGAGCTGTTCGCCAATGTGAGCATCGACAAGGACGCCACTGACGCTTCTGCAGCTGATGGCTAAGGCTCGTCCGACTTCAGCTGCGTCGTCCGGGTGGTTGACAACCAAAGGACTCCCTCCCCTGAAGACTTGAAGCTTGTTGATAGTGAATGAGCCGTTGGCTTCAACCACCTCCTTGAAATCTTGTATGCTTGGTGCATACACTGGGATGTTGAAGTTGTCCCTCTTCTCACTTGTAATTAGCCCCTGTTACTTCAAACAAATAGTACTGTATTCATTAGTACAGCGAAAGCAACCTAAGTAGACAATTGACCACCAGTATAAATTTGTTTCTCCACTCAACTGAAGTATATATATACTATTACTTTTCAACACAATCAGTCTTGAACAAAAATTTATAAAATAGAAAAACAAGATAAAGGAAAGAAAGAGGAATCGCATTGAGAGAGAAAATAGCTAGAGCTTCAGCCATTTGAATCTAAGAATCAGAGTTTGTTGGTGCTGCAAAAACTGTTTAACAATGAAGCCTCTTAAAACTACTGTAGTTATGTGTCCTAGGTAAATTAATAACATGTTCTATACGGACCAAATATAAAATTCACGTACTCCAATTAAATATCACTCCCTTTTGTTTGGATTCATAATATCTTTTCTTCTTTCAGAAACTATATTAACAATCGAATAACGGTGGCTGCTTTTTACTAATTATTTGGCGTAGCCACTTGCCATTGCTATTTGTTACTTATGATATTGCTGATAGATGATGACAGAAGTTAAGAGTAGTCAATTTATGGTGCAGGATAGAGAGGAAGCCCAATTGGTCGCAGTGACAAGTAAAAGTCATGATTTAGGACTATTCATTAAAATGGCTCCATGCCAACGCTTAGTCACAATCCCTAGTCGTTTGTCAACCAGACACACTTGGTCTAGACAGATGTTGACCTTTGAGTACTAGTGCTTGGTTGCTCAAGAATCAAATTGGAGAATGACCTGATCCTCTGATTGTGACACTCAACACTAGTCTACATTATATTGTCCAAAACGACCAACTTCACAAAAAGGAAAAGACAATAATATATACTCCTATACCATATAAGTTTAAGTTATATGCTCAGATATTTCAAAACATATCGTCACACTCATGTTGATCCTTCAATAATGAAGAACTTTTAGAGGATCCGACGTATAGCCAACGATATTTTTATAGGATCCGAACAACAAAGACACCAATACTGACGGAGTTAGAATTTTCAATAAGTGAAATCAAAATATAAGAAAAATAAATACACGAATAAGCTAAAATAATTAAAATATAATAATATATAGCTATACTGTATAATGTTTTATGCGAAAGGTCTGTCAATTGACACTCTTTGGTTAAAGATGTCTCCGCGACTGTACACCAACATTATAAAAAAGTTATACTATCTATACAAATTAACCTACTACAACAATTTATTAGTTTGTCTTCCAGATTACATTATCAAATTAGATATGAAAAGTTATACTATATTGTTATAAGTCATCTTACACAGACTCTTTCTATATAGGTCTGTTGAAGTCTTCACTCTTCACGTATTATGGCACAGAGAAGAATATAATAATGGAATGAATGAGTAATTACCTCTTGGACAAGATCATCCCAAGCATCTTGAAAATGGGTCCCAAAAAGGAGTCCGGCCCCACCTTGGTCTGTTGGGTCCACAGAGGTTCTTCCTAAGCAAACTAAGAACATGAAACCCCCTCTCTTCATTTCTTTAGACCTTGCTCCAAGAAAATTAGCCAAATCACTTTGGAATTGCTTTTTGTATGCATTGGCTGTGCTCTCATTTGCACCGTGGATGTATATCCTTCCCTTGTTGTACGCCCCTGATCTCTTATCCAACACTATATCTGGAACCTGTCATCCCAGATTGAACTTTAGCGATGTTTACACAATTAATTATAGTTAGCCGAATTTATTGATTATTTTTCCTAATCAATATACACGGATTATTTATCGATATATACATATCATACATTTATAGGTTATTTTTAGTTTAAGTGATTGGTGGAGGACTATTTAGTTTAATTATTCAAACTTCTAAATAAGTTTATTAGAAGATTCTTAATTAATTAGCAATCAAAGCATTAAACAACTAATTTTTCTCAGTCCATTTCAATTGGCCTATGCATGCACTTATATGTACTCCTTCCCAACTCATTAGTCATTTATCGTTTATGAAGGGGAAAAATACAATTTTATTTTCAAGTATATAAGTTAAATCCAACATCAAACAGAAAATAAAGAAATAAATATCGCCAAAAAAGTGTTTAGGCTAGTGGTTTTGAGAAAACCAGGGGCCATTATTATTTTGAGTGCTTTTGAACTTTTTGACCTTCTCAAAGAAAATAAAGTAGTTAGGATCTTCATGCATTTTCAAACTTGAAAACAACATACTACCACAATTCAAGTGTTTGCCTTAACTGTAAATCATCCTCGGGATTGGTACAAATCACTATTGTTTCCACATTTCTCTGTCTATTTGCCCATGCTACGTAAATTATTTTTTAGCTAACCACGACTTTGATTACCATATTACCATTTGACTTTTGTTTGCAAATATTATATATCTTCAATCTCAAATATTAATTAATTTTAATAATCTAATTTTCAAAATATTTGACGTTAAATAACAAAAGAACTCACTTAGTACTCCTTTTACAAATCTACTCTAATGTGTTGATTTAGTAAATACGATTTAAGAAGAGATAATTTAAACATATATTCTTATATTACAGTTTTCAAATATCAAATTTAAGGGTATAAAAAACTATCTTTAAATATGGACGGAAGTAAGTGATAAATGTTATATATTGAAAGTTGAAGCGCATATATATATAAAGAGGAAAATAACCTGAGAAAGCCAGTGCAAAGAAAATGCAGAGTAGAAAACGTCAATGGATCTCGCCGGGAAGAGACGGCGATAAAAGGAACCGGGAACTCCGGCGGCGAAGTAAGAGCGGTGACTATTGGAAGCTAAGCATTCCTCCATGCTGCCACAAGCATTATTAGCCAACGGCGGCAGCAGCTGAAACAGCGTGTTGAAGTCATTGGAAGGAAGATCAGAGAAGAAGGCAGAAAATTCAGGCGGTTGAAGACCCATCGCTTCGTATCGCTTGCTCATATGTTCCACAATCACGTCGATTATGTAGACGGTGTTGCTGCCGCAGGAGCATCCCAAGTCGACGATCACGAAAGGAACATCCGGTGGGCTCAGCTGGACTTCGTCAAGGGTTTCTTTCAGTAGGTGTAGCATCGATCGAGCATGTTGCCCCTGTATACAAGAATTTATGTTATGTATATATATATATAGGGGCGGAGCTAGTCTGTAGCGGGCGGGTTCGACCGAGCCCAATAGCTTTGGTTCGAATCCTGTATTTGTCTTAAAAAATTCATTGAATATATATAAATTATTAATTTAGAACCCAATAACTTAAAACGATTAGAATTTTGAACCCATAAGCTTAAATCCTGGCTCCGCCATATACAAATTTTATTTTTTTAAAATAAATTTATTACGTGGATGAAAGGGGAGGGGAGTCGAACGCACACCGATTATGAAAAGACTCACAACTATAAACTAATTTTTTTGTTATGGCAAATGCTCGCGAAAGTTTCCAAATGTCCATTTACTACCTAAGGTTGCACAAACGTTATGTCGACTATGCTAAATGCAATAAATAGCTTTCCAAAGAAATAAATTACATGGTAAAGAAACATATTTAGAACGGCGAAAGTGATCACCTGAGCTTGAGAGTTGTTGACGTAGCTAGCCTCTCCTTTCCCCCCTTTCATGCTGAGCATTCTTTCAAGTTTCATGTTAGATACAACAACGTTGTCCTTATTGTCTCCTAAGGGAGCCATATTAGATGCAAAGATTCAATTCTTTTATCAGTGAAAGGGAAGTGGTTAAGTATATATGTTGAGAATAGAAATGACAAATGGTTGGGTGGATTTATATAGAGAGTGAAAAAAGCTTAAAGGATTTGGTCTTGTTCTAGTGGTTAGGATGCATACTCATGAAAGATATGCCTTTTTGACAGAATCTGAAACATAAAGCTAAAATAAAGAATAAATAAAATGGAAAATAATATGAAGAAGATATGGGCTTCACATGGAAACAAATAACAAAGCAGGCCCAAGATTGACGCCGGAATTCCATAATTGAATCTCTACGCAAAATTCTGTAATTAAAGAGCGAAAGAGATCTAACAGGAGTAGGAGATGACGGTTCAACTTTCTGTCCATTAATTAGTTGTGTTTTGTTCTATTATCATGCTAAATCTTAGTCTTTCCACAAGAATAGAGTCCTAATTGTTATTTTGGCCATTTATTTCAATCAAAGTGAATCAAAGATTTTAAATCAGTGGGCGTGAAATACCGCTACACTTCATTGATTTCAATCAAATTTAAGGCGAATTTAAAGATTTTAAATCAGTGGACGTGAAATATCCTCCATTTTATTGATTTCAATCAAAGGCGAATTAAGAGTTTCAAATCAGTTAGTGAAATACGAACACTGGGCACAAAATTGGATCAAACACGTATGTTTAAAATTTGATAAATTTATAGTTCAAATTAAAGTTAGTGGATGCATTTCGCCTTGTATTATTCTTCTGCTAAGCACCATAGAAATTATTCTCCCCTCAAATTGAAATCTAGAGCCCCATGATTTTACAAACTTATTTGATTATGTACCTTGTAATACTCAAAATAGTTTCCATTAGATTAATTAAATAATTACCGAAGATACCCTATTGGAATTTGAAAGCAAATAGTTGCTAGTATTCTAACGTGCATGCCATGATCAGCCAAATAAAAGTATCACTCATGTGTTGACTATGAAAGTAATTAGAAAAATCTATTAGCTACAGCATTCTTCTAAACATGTTTGTTTCTAACGGTTTTATCGTTAACATAATCATTAGAGAAATTAATGAAAAGAATTATATAATAAATAAAGGCCTTTTGAAAATCATATAAAGCAACAGTCTGTGGGTCCAAATTTTAAACTAGAATATATGCCGATTAGGCAAACCTAACACATTTATAAGAAATTAACACGGTTTTTCTATAAGCAACTACCAAAGTGCATAGCATATATACACGAAATGATTATGGTATAATTAAAATATAATATTCAGAAATAAAACCAAGTATATATAGAAGATGTGTTTGTTGCTAGTTAAATTTATATTGATTTAATTTTAGTTGCTTCAGATAATGGCAAATCATTGACTAGTAATACTACTACTACTAGTCATACTTTTATTCTCAACTATATACGTACGACGATAAGAACCTGTTTTGATTCCCAAAATGACGACAAATTATTATACTTCTAATTAAACCCAACTCTTATATACACCTAAACCATGATTTGATACACCAAAAAAGGTTCAACAAGTTCCAATTTCCTAATTTGTATGTTTTTCATATCCAATAGTGTATCATTTGGAAGTTGACATTCTGTCTACTACAGGAACTAAGATTAACTAAAAGTTAAGTGATCATTAATGGTCTTTCTATCTAATTAAGTGTCATCTCCCTCGAAATCAAGCTTCAGTTTGTTCTGAGCCCCACATGCATTAGCTATACGGTCTAATCCTAGGCGGCCAAAGGATCTTGCTGAGCCAATATAAAGACCGTGAAAAAAACTTATTCGCGTTGTGTTTGTATAAAACGAATGAATGTGATACATGTATTTAAGTTTGCATATACCTTTTTATAATTACGTAATTATAGTTAAACCATATATATTCACTTTGAATATTTATAACTCTGAAAATTAAATTGTTTGGTTTGATGTAAACATCAAGTTCGAGTACCTTCTCTACTATTCTGAGGTCAACTATGACGCACCCAAAAAAGTAAAAAAAGAATAAGAAAGATCCACACAAAAGGATAGAAAATGAAGAATCAATGATACACACATAGAAATGAAATATAATTATAGAAAGGATGATTTATCCAACTATTCAAGGGGTTATATTCTTACCGGCTGATTCTTGAGAAATATGGCATTCTTCCGAGACATAAGTATCGCAAATCATGGTAGCTTCACTTACTGTTTGGCCTTCCATCAGTGGATCAAAGTAATTAACTGGCCTTATTTCAAGAAGAAAAAAAAACTGTAGAATGTACACAAATGAATGATAACACCTTTATTTATACTGGCAGATCATAATTTAGTGATAAGGATTCTTGGGGATGGTGATTATAACAAATATTGAAATAGCTAATATGCTAAATATTGATTATTGAGAAGTGGATTGGATTAATTGATTTATATGGTAAGTGATTAACTAAATTAAACAGTAAGTGATTAACTAAATTAAACAGATAAAACTAAATATCTGATTTACTCGTAATATATAGCCAAGGCTACTTAGAGATTAAGGAATAAATTATCTAATTATATTTTCCATTTTGTCCATGCAAACAGATCATTAGGCATTAATAATACCGTTGATGCATAATGAATGGCCATTGGCCAATATCTTTAGTGGACTGCTTAATGAAAGTTTTTCGGGCTCTGAACCAAGAGGTTGTGAGTTCGAGTCACCCCAGGAGTAATGTGGAAAGTTTTTGAAGGGATGGAGCCGAGGGTCTATCGGAAACCTCTCTACCTAGGGTAGGGGTAAGGTCTGCGTACACATTACCCCCCTCCAGACCCTACTAGTGGAATTATACTGAGTTGTTGTTGTTGTTGGTGGATGTGATCAGATGCTGCCGCTTTTGTAAATGAGTTTAACTTATATGAATTAACAATGTAAAAGAATGATTATACAATTAAGATTTCTTTGTTAAGTAATTACGTGAATATCTTGATAAGCATTAAGTGATAATCTTGTAAAAATAACAACTAACCTACTATTTTGGTTAAAATTCAGTATGTAACTTAACTTGCATTTGGACGTTTTAAATGTCCTGCTGCCAACAAAATCAACAATAATTTCTTCTTTTGCTATGTGTCTTGAGGAGGTTGCTCTAGTGGTAAACACACTCCACTTTCAACTATGAGTGTTTAACGGGCGGACTTGGACGGGCTGGACACAGAAAAACCAACCCGTTTGTTTAACGTTGCGGGCTATTAGCGGGCTATACTTTTTCGAGTTTTTTTTTGTCCGTCCGGGTTCGGACTTAGCGGGCTGGACCGGGCCGTGCAATATATTTTTTTTAAAAGTAAATTTTATTTTTCTTATTCAATGTTATTGATATTTAAGTGTTTGCAAACTTTTAAGGCTTAGAATTAAACTTTGAAGTTTAAAGTTTTAAATTTGAAATTTGAATTTTACATTTTAAAATTAAAATTTGAAAGTAAATGGCTACAAAAAATTATTTTTGTAAGTTTATCTATGTCAACCTGAGGTTCTTGGTTTCCGGCATTGGTTGAATAAGAACCATAAACCATTATATCTCTAATTTCTTGGTCCTCCGCTTCATCTACCTCGTCACGCCCTTGATTTCGCTGTTCTGATCTTATCCAATCTCTGAAGCACACTAGAATTTTCAAAGCGTTGCTGCCCAGTGAATGACGGATATCTCCTAGTTACTGCCTTGCTTGGCTAAATGCGCTCTCTGATGCGACTGTTGAAATCGGCACATTTAGCACGTCTCGAGCCATGGCCGAAAGAACAGAAAATTGATTTGGGTTGCTCCTTCACCAACCCAGTGGTAGAAATTCCTTTGTGCGGGGCTCTGCTGACTTTTGCAAGTAGAATTGAAGTTCATCAATATTCCTGCTACCGGTTTGTTGATGCCCCCTTAGTGTAGACCAAATCAAATAATCTTCAACACCATCATTATCATCCAAAGTACTGGTACCGTACCAGATGTTGAAACTGAACTTGAAAGAATATTTGCATCTACAACAGAAGAAGCATCAACAATGTTAGCATAATAATTATATAATGTTTCTAAATGTTTGTGTAGATCAGAAATACAAGTGTCACTATCAGGAGTTTCAGTTGGTCCAATATCCATATAAGAATATAAAGCAGTGATTAATTGGCGGCAAGTGGCCATTTTGATAGAAGGGTTTAAAATAGCACCAATTAGGTAAATAGGGGGAATTGGGTAGAAATATTTTTTAAACTAAAAATCTAGCATAGATTCAACAACACAAGTATATCCTTCTTTCTTCTTCTTCAAATTATGTAGTAAAAGAGAAATTTCAGCAATATGAACTAAACCGTTTGTAATAGTAGGATAATTTGCAATATTTGAATTTTGACCGTTGGCAACGGTCCAAAAAAAACCCGTTAAAAATGGGCTGAACCTGGCTGTAGCCCGTTAAATATTCGTTAACGGGCTTAGCGGGTTCCGGTGCACCGGTATCAAAAAACTGGTCGTTTGAAACCCGCTCCCCGCTCAACCCGTCCCAGCCCACCTCCCACGCTATAGTACTAGGCTGAACCGAGTTGTAAACGGGTCAGTTCGGCCCGATTAACAGGTATACTTCCAACCAAGAGGTTGTGAGTTCGAGTCACCCCAAGAGTAAACTGGAAAGTTCTTGGAGGGAGGGAGTCGGGGGTCTCTTGGAAACAGCCTCTCTACCCTAGGATAGGGATAAGGTCTGCGTACACACTACCCTCCCCAGACCTCACTAGTGGGATTATACTGGGTTGTTGTTTTGCTATGTGTCTAATACTCTATAAAATTTTGGAAAAAAAATCAGATATATCCTGATTTATAACTGTAATTGAAAAATAGTCATAATTTCAAAAGTAATTGAAATTTAGCCACTTTTTTATGTAAAGATAAAATCTGAACAAAAACACCCTTAAAATCCAAAATATTTCCAGCATAATATGTTGGAGTTTGAGTTTTTTACATATGACATTCCAGCATAATGTGCTGAAGTTCCAATATAGTATGTTGGAAGTTTATACGTTGGAGCTCCATAATCTAGCATATTATGCTGGAACTTTTCGTGTTTCAGCTGAAATAGTACTATTTTTCAATGACTTTGCAAATGCTAATTATTTTTCGATCACCAATTCAAAAACAACCCATACTATTTTAATTAAAATTTTATTTGATGTGTGTCAGTTTGGCTATGACATGAAGTCTTTTTGAAGCATTGAATAAGCCGATAAATTAAAGTCACGAAATTAATTG